AGTTGCTCGCCGTTCCTCCGCGTTGTGTGCTGCACCTGCCACTACCGGACCTTTGTTTTCGTGTTCTTTTACATTCCGCGTTGAATAGTGTGTTTTCTTTAGGTCTTTTCGATATTTCGGGCTTTCATTTAATCATTTGATATCTATATTTCAACATAGTTCTTGTATTTTTTTATTTATGAAATGGAATCGAACAGCGAATGGATCGACGATACAAGATTATGGCTCCAGAGACCATGTAAGTTCATCCCATTCTAACATTTTTCTCGCTAATAAAGGGCAGTCAACACCGTTGCGACATATGCAAATTTCAACTGACGCAGTAAGGCTATCCAGTCGTGCTTCTCGCTGCATGTGCGCGCTCGTTTCGGTAAAGCCGGCCCGCATGCGAGCGATATAGCGTGCGATGAGACGAGCGACGGCAACAACGACGAGAGTCAGCAACGAAGATTTCTCACTGTCGCCTGTTACATCGCTCGGTTTTTTGGGGTTTCTAAAAAAACGTCGCTCACCGTCTTGGTCGCTTGCTCCCGCTGCTTCCATACGGTTTGCCTTGTCGCGCGACTGCCCGAGCGACAGCGAAGCGGGTCAGCGTCGCTTGTCTCGTTGCACGCTAAATCGCTTGCATGCGGTTTATAGTTAATATCGAGGCGCGAATGGTTCAATGGTGTGTGCATGGAAATTAATTGAGTATAAACCGCATGTAAGCGATTTAGCGAGCGACCAGATAGGCGACGGCGACCTGCTTCGCTGTCGCTCGGGCAGTCGTGCGACGAGGCAAACCGTATGGAAGCGACGGAGCAAGCGACCAAGACAGTGAGCAACTTTTTCTAGAAATCCCAAAACCGAGCGATGCGACGGGCGACAGTGATAAATCTCCGTCGCTCGTCTCGTCGCACGCTAAATCACTTACATGCGGGTCGGCTTTATGGAAACGAGTGCGCACATGCAGAGAGAAGCAAGACTGTGATAGCCTTACTGCGTCAGTTGCAATTTACAATATGTCGCAATAGTGTTGACTGCCCTTTATTAGCGAGAAAAACGTAAGAATGGGATGAACTTACATGGTCATTGAAGCCTCATAATCTTGTATCGTCGACCCATTCGCTGTCCGATTCGATTCAATGAATAAGAAAATACAAGAGCTATGTCGAAATATAAATATCAAATGATTAAATGAAAGTCCTAAATATCGAAACAACCTAAAAAAAATACAAGATTTCAACGTGCAACGTAAAAGAACACGAAAACAAAGCTCGGTAGTGGCCTGTGCAGCACAAAACGCAGAGCAACGGCGAGAAACTGAAGGTCGGCTATGGCGGCCCGGAAAGCGCGCGAAGGGCGCGCCGACTGGTGGCAGTTCGAGTAACTGACTCGCTGAAAGCGTCTATACATATAGCATTAAATCCAACATGACAAAAAGGACCTCTTGATGATCTGAGGCCCAAAGATTGAGAGATAGAGTGAGAAAGGCCAAGCTTTCGAGGGTTACCAAGCTGTTGGTCAGCTGCTAGAAGACTAATCTTGAACCAGGAATTATAGAAGTCACTTGTGCCTTTGCTAACAGGGCTCAGAAGTTTACAATAAAAAAATACTAAAAACTTCTTGTCTCATTTAAGAAAAAGTGACCTAGTACGGCAGTGATACTAGGTACTATATGCTCAACATACATTTCTCTGCTGGCACTAATGCGTTTCAATCCAGGCTTTTGCACTACCTAGAGTCAAGAGAAAAATAGTGGGAGAAAGAAGCAGCACTTTCAAGAGGCTGTCTAGCTAGCATCACCATAAGGTACCGTGCCTTCGAATCGAGCAGTTTTTGCAGAGGACTCCTTCCCCACTTCTGTCTTTCCAAAGGAAGCACCTCATCGAGTTCCAGAAAAGACTCAAAACGCCCACCACACTTAATTCTTCGGAGGAAATGATGGAGGATTTCCCGGTTTCCAACAGTGCATCGAAAACGAAGGTTTGCTTTAGCTTATATTTTCCTAGCTAACACTTAACTTATACTATTACATCTCTCCAATGGCTCATCCAGTGGTATACTCAAGAAGACCATCAAGTTGGAACACACATATTCCTTTGGACCCCCAACAAAAGACGAGATAGGATTACACTATGTTTCACCATGAGTCAGAGATCCATCAAAGCTAGAAGACACACAAGCAAACACAAGGAGTGCAAGGTCATAATGCACTCTCGGCACTTGATTAGATTAGCTGGGGATCCCACAGACCTCGAAAGGCGACGCACACAACAGTCGTGTCTAGTTAATGCGGACTACATTAAGGGGTCAACAGGGAAAAACTTTTTTTTTATTATGCAAGATAGCTGAATTAAATTTTCGAAGTTTATAGTGCTTGACCTCCTTTTTTATAAATACAGTGTATTTTGGACATAAGTTTGTTTTTATGCTCTACATACGATGCACACGCAGAAAGAAAACATCTTGGGGGACATGTGGCGCAGGGCAACACACTTCACAGAGCCTAGTAAAATCCACTAGCGGGCTCCTTCTAAACCACAGACTGCAATGAAACAAAATAATGTATACGAGACTTATTTTATTTTAAAATAATTAAAAATAATAAAAAAGCCATCTTCAAGGGGCTAACAAAAGTTCCTTAAATTTTTCATAAGTATAAAAAATTTACATTCTAACAAATCCTATGCTCCATTTCATGATAACTTGGCAAACAGAAGAGGCTAGGGCCCTGCGACCCAATAAAAGCACCAGAGCGAGGCACGTGATCTGACGTCACGGGTGCCACTACACCAAATGTGAGGCGCAAGAACCGGAATAACTAGCTGTCCTTTACTAGCCAAGAGCCGTATGCTCCGAAACCAACCAAGTTCGGATGAACGTCCACCACAGCAACATTTCCGTCCGCTAGAATAGCAAGCGCTTCGGAAACAGTCCACGAGACAACTATACGCTCAATTTAGCTGCAAATCTGGGACGGGTGCTAATGTCAGGGCACAGTGCAATGTTCTGAATGGAAACAGCTGATTAAAACAGTTGCGCTTGACAATGGCCACGATGCTACAAGGAGAAAAAAATTGTTAGCGGATACAGATGTGGCATTATACTTTTTTGGTTTAAATATAATTGAAACTCATAAATTTGTAATTATTTATTCTTTATTCTTCATAAGTTCTCGTCAGAGATGGAATCACACGAGCTCAAGTGCCGTTAAAAGAAAAAGAAGCCTAGGACTACTTTTTGTCGCGTACGGCGCTGTTGCTGTGGCAGTGATGAGGCAGGCCCCTGTGGCGTCGACCATGAAGTGTTATCACGTGCCTTGCACCGGCGCTACTATTGGGTCGCAGGGGCCGCAGCCTCCACAGTTTGCCAAGTTATCGTGAAACGCAGTATAGATAGTTGCACATTTTCTAAAGTGTATACATGCCAAATTGGTTGTGATAGGGCATTTTTAAAAACAAAAATTGGAGTGAAAACTGTATAGATGCCCTAAAATTACATAAAAAGAAAAACGCATTCAAATGTTACCATAGATGTGTAGTGATACTCTTTCGAGGTGGGAAAAAGCATATTTTGTTAATTTTCCACCACAAAAGCAAGCTACAGAAGACTGTGATGGGGAGGAGATGGCTAGGCCAACTCGTCAAAATAAATGTGATGGCGGGAGGTGTCACAGTTTGAAAAACCACGCACAAAAGAAATGGCTCTAATTTATGCCATTCTGGTGTGCAGGGAGGTCTACAAATGTGTATTTGACTAAATTCGCAATCATAACTCCCACTTATCATTTTCATACATAACATAGGAAGATTCGAAGACAATGAAACTCCATGAAAACTAAATTTGTTTTTCAAAATGTTGCTGTTTATTTATGTGCACCTCCCGCATATCCAAGAACTAAATTCTAAACACGCCCCAACGTGAATCGAACCCACAACCATGTGACAACGAGCTCAACATTCTACCATTGTGCCAAGGTTGTCAGAGCAGCAAGCTGTGGCTGGAAAGATTAGTGGATAGACGCAAAGCTACCTGCCGTTGTCTCTATTCGCTGTTCAATTGCCAAGTGCCAAACACCATGCAGTGTTCAGGGTTCGCGCTCAGTCGGTTAGAGGAGACCCACTAATCACTCCAATCGGAATTCAGCACTCCGACGTCCCAGCCAGCCCTCATCTCCTTCTCTCCCTCAGTTTCTATCCATATGGGAAGAAATAAGATATCCAAAATAAGCCCATTATCGCAATAAAAAGGATGCAGTTCGGAAGAAATTAAAGCGCTAAAAGTTAAAAAAAAATGCGAGGAAAACTGCAATGTCTACTACAAACCCCAAAAGAATGCCGCAGAAACGAGTTATCCGTGTACCGACGTTATCCGTGGAGTCAAGAGAAATCTAGCGTTTTTCTTTTCTTGGAAGATCCGAGCCGTCTCTTGATGCGTAACTATGTGCCAAACGTTCGCTTTTATGTGCTTCATAGTTTAAAAAGTCAGCAGGATTTTGCGCTGCTTTAGGCATCAACACTCAGACCGGGAAGGGTTAAATGGCTAGCAGTCGCGAGGTGGGGGTTACTCGCAATTGAAAACTTTGAGAACCCCCGTTTCGTGAGAACAGGGGTGTCCACATTGACGAGACACGACAGAATGACGTTGCACTTTCGGCGCCGCTCGATTAACTCTACCAGCTTGAAACTTCAGCTGCGCTCCAACTGGTTAGAAAACAAAGTACTATGCAGAGCGCAAGTTCGTCTGCTTCTTGCACAGGGTTGCGATGATGTCAGAACGCCTTGCTCTTATTGGCTGGTTGAAAAAGAAATAGTGGGCGGACCTCGAGGCATCCAGCAATAAGGACTACCCACTATCCTTTCAACCAAAGCCAATCAAAGCTCGGCGGCGTGGCGACGTGACCGCAACGCCTGCTAAAAAGAAGCGGACGACTTGCCCTCTGCATAGACGCAACGAGTGGGGTTACAACAAACGCGAGCGAGCGAAGAGTGAAGACGTGTGCTCAGAAGAGGGCTCACCCCTGGCTGTGCGGAAGACGAGGGCGACCCGCTCGCTGTAGCCGATGTCGTTGTAGGCCTCGATCTCGGCCCGGTAGTAGCTCTCGGGCTGCAGCTTCTGCAGTTCCACCCGGGGCACGTTGTGCCACTTGGTCACCTGCACCACGTTCTCAGGCCCCACACGCACAAACAGGTTGTCCCCACGCTTGTCCACCTGCCGGCGGGAGAGAGAGGGGAAGCGGGTCGTGAGAGGGCTCGGTTTAAACCCCTTACGGCCAGTGCACGGCTGCCAACCACTGGTTTACGCTTGGCTACAAGTCATTGGCCAGTGACAAGAAACTGGCCAATGCCTTGAAACATTTCAGTAGTCACAGGTGAAATATAATCAACCTGACAACAACCACAGCTGGCATAGGCCTTTCTGGTTTGGCCAGATGTCGGCCAGCGAGAAGCACACTGACCATAACTTTTCGGTCATCGCCCGGCCGCAAAGTTTGGGCCATCCAAGTTGCTACGGCATAGATGCAGTACCATGGCCCCTCCAAGTATCGTCCGACGGTGCTTTCCAAACTCTGCTACCCTGCGACCCTTAATTGAAATACCAATCGAAAGATACGGGAGTTTTCCCGATATCGAAAAGTTTGAGAATCCCCAGCACTATATTGTAGGTTTTGAGATTTAACAGCAACTCCCAAGCACGTTTCTATTTCGAGACGTCAACACCCAAAACAGAAATGCATTTCGGGATCACTCTCGACTCAAAATGTGTCCAGCGACACAAAAATATTGGGCAAGACATTTTTTGTTTTTTAGGAAAGTTTAGTTATTGACACACATGTCCTATCGAGGCACGTAAAAAAAAGAATTGGCAACGACCTTTATCTCGAAAGTTCTACGGTGCATGGAATGCGGTATATAAGGAATGATTGTTTAGATTGGTTTAGAAGACATTCTACAGTTGTTTCGGGAGCGAAGAACATATATCTTTATCGATTCCCCCGCTAAACAAAGCGGGGAAACTAAATCGCTGTAGAGGGCACGTGGCAATCACTATGCTAAATTTAGCGGTGAAACTGAATTGACGTCCCATGACACGATGTGCTATATTTAGCTGTGAAATGCGCGGACGGATGAACACAATATTGGGATTCGTCGGGGTTCTGCCAAAAAGCATCCCATACCTTAACCCCTTGCCTACTATTAATAGGGAGCTTTAAAATAAAGTATGCAATTTTAGCGCACGCTAGCGCTAAATTTAGCGCTTGCATTAGCGCATGTGACGCTACAGAGTTTTAGAATAGAGTTTCTCCGTTGCGACGCAAAAGCCCAAGCATGTCGAGCTTGCGACGCCACCAAGATACAGTCACAATTTTGATTTCACAAACGTAATGCTGTAACTTAAAAAAAAAAAAAAAAAAAAAATGTTTTTTGGCCCAGAGTATTATTTTAGATTTGTTTAAACATGAGAATGCAATGCGAGCGGTTCACCGGTCGTGTCCGCTTGCGTCGCCTCGGCAAGAGGGGTCTCGTGTACTGACCTTCGCACATCGTACCTTTGCCGAGAAATGTTCGCGCGTCACAAGCATGAAGTTGCCGGTGATCGCTGCCAAACCGAGTACAATGTCGTCGCAGTCGCGAGGATGCCGCCGACGTCGCACTCACGACGCCGCCAAAGCAGCCGCCGAAATCCTGGAAGCCGCCATTTTTTTAACGCTGCTCGTCTTGGCTTTAGCCAACTTCTCATCACGAATCATCCTTGGAGAAGCGCAAAAACTCTTTGTAAACGTACGCTATTTCCGAGAAAAAGCGCACGCTAAAATTGCGCACGCAAGGTGCAAAACCTCATTTGCGTTCGGAGCATGCGCAGTGGCGACGACGCTGTTCTTTGCGTACGCAAAGCTGTTCTTTGCGTAGCAAAGGGGCACGACACCGCCGCCGGAATGTGTCTTAAACATCCTGTCCATTCCCAGGTTGCTGTGGCTGTTACCTGTGCTCTTCTTTTTGGTTCGCCGATTTGGTCGGCACCGGATCCCGTTTTCCATCGCACCGGAGAAACCCCGCCACTCCTTCAAACCTTCGGCCCGCCATCGTCAACTTCAGTTGGATCCCTTCCACGATGCTGGCAACTGGGGCAAGCCGGGCAACCCTATCTACACGGAGCATTTCTTCAAAAGCGGGCACAACCCCCTGAGTGCCTTGGGCACGACACCGCCGCCGGAATGTGTCTTAAACATCCTGTCCATTCCCAGGTTGCTGTGGCTGTTACCTGTGCTCTTCTTTTTGGTTCGCCGATTTGGTCGGCACCGGATCCCGTTTTCCATCGCACCGGAGAAACCCCGCCACTCCTTCAAACCTTCGGCCCGCCATCGTCAACTTCAGTTGGATCCCTTCCACGATGCTGGCAACTGGGGCAAGCCGGGCAACCCTATCTACTCGGAGCATTTCTTCAAAAGCGGGCACAACCCCCTGAGTGCCTTGGGCACGACACCGCCGCCGGAATGTGTCTTAAACATCCTGTCCATTCCCAGGTTGGTTTTTCATCATCATCCTACCGATGCAATAACGTGTGCATCATTGCGGTGTCGTGCCCACCTTGTGTGTATGATTGTGTGTCTTCAGCGCGTTCCAGGATTGTTTCTTTTGTGTCAGACCTGTGTCAAATTGCTGATAGCATGAGAAGAAAACTTCTCTTGTCCGGAGATATTGAGGCCAACCCTGGGCCCGATAACAAGCCTTGTGACGACACATCGCCAAATCAAATCATAACGCTACTAAGCAAGTTATCCAACGGCCAAACGGAAATCCTAGCTGAAATTAAATCCATGCAAGAAAAGCAACGTCATACTGACTCTGTTTTAGCAACCCTCAAATCTAAAATCGACGACATCGACCGCGAAATTTCGAGCCTTAAAACAATCAAAGAAGACGTGGCTGCGGTATCAAAAATCACTGCAACAAACACATCCGCGATAGCGGAAATGACACGAAGGTTTACCACTCTTGAGGATCACTCGCGACGAAACAACTTGCTTTTCTTTAACCTACCTGATGCGCGTGGTGAGACCTGGAAGCAGTCTGAAGCAAAAATAGTTTCCTTTTGCGAGGAAAATCTTGGTGTCAAGATACTCCCCCCTTGGATCGAGCGGGCGCACAGAATTGGGTTTTTCAAAGATAACTCCACGACAGCCAGACCCATCATCGTAAAATTTAATTCTTTTAAAGATAAAGAACTCGTGCTATCACAAGCAAACAGACTAAAAGGTACAGATTTCCGTTTGAGCGAGGATTACTCGGAAGAGACCCGTAAAGCACGAAAAGAGCTCCTTTCTTTTGCAAAAGCACAAGCTCGTGACTTCAAGCTTCGCCACGATAAACTAATTATCGGAAATTTGCGATATATTTTTGACCGGGAAACCGCACGTGTTATGCAGCTTCCCTCATAGCTACAGGAAACCAGAAAGTCATCCTCCCAACAACAGAAAAGACCATTATCAACCCTAAACTTTTTTATTGCCAATGTTAGAAGCGTTTATGCCAAACAAGAAGCGCTGCATTCTGCTGTCCACTCCTGCTCTGCAGACGTTGTTATCATCAGTGAAACTTGGCTAACTCCGGATATTGCAGATAGCGAATTAATCCTAAGTGACTCGTATTTTATCATCCGGAAAGATAGGATTGAGCGGCGGGGAGGGGGAGTGTTGATTGCTGTTAGAAGTACTTTGCATGTTGAAAAGTGTGATATAATATCAAGTTTTGAAGGTGTTTGGGTAAGGATTAGGACGCCTACTGTTTGTATTTTAGTAATCGCATGTTATAAGCCACCTGACTTGTCAGACTTCTCGCCATTACTTTATGATTGCTTAGAGACCCTTGCTCGTTCTTATCCAAATGATCTCATAGTTCTCTCCGGTGACTTTAACTACCCCGAAATAAAATGGCCGGTTGTTCCAAATGTCATATCTTTTGATGCATGGTATAAACTTTCAAAGCAAAGTCGGGATTTTGTTGATGTGATAAACGCCTTCTTTCTTTTTCAAATGGTTGACAAGCCAACTCGTAACTCTGCTTTCTTGGATCTTTTTTTCATTTCGGAGCCAGATTTTATAGCTTCGGTAAACTTTATGGAACCGCTCAGTGATCACACTTCCCTAAATGTTGAACTTGCTCTTCCTACGCAAAAGCACAGTCCGCTGGTAAAAGCTATTTATGATTACTCCAGGGCTAACGTCGATGACTTCTGTCGTAGCTTGCAATCTTTTTCAAGTATTTACATGGTTGGCTTTGACTCTAGGACAGTTCACGAAAACTGGAGATTATTCAAACAAAAGCTACTTGATCTATGTGATCAGTTTATTCCAAAAATAAATATACAGTCTTCTATTGAGAAACCCTGGTTTTCGAACCGCCTTAAACGACTACTGAATAAAAAGCGGAGACTATTTCAAACAGCTAAATTGTCTTTGTCCCCTTCTGCGTGGACAAAGTATGACGAATTCCAATTAGTATGCAAGACAGAGATACGTCGAGCGCAGAACAAGTTTTACAACGAAGACCTCCGCAACCTTATGACAGCTAACCCCAAAAAGTTCTGGAAAGCGGTTAACCCTAAGCAAGTGTCGAAGCCTCACCGATTCACTAATCCTGCGGGAGACGAGCTCGATGTGGGTGCAGTGTGCGAGGAATTCAGTCGTTTTTTTAGCGAGATGTTTTCTGAAGATATTTTCCCCTTACCAGAGCATTCGCCTAATTACGACATAGCCACACAAATGTGCCCAATCACTATGTCTGTGAGCGGAATTCAGAAACTAATAGAACATCTCCCAACAAATTCTGCCCCCGGTCCTGACAATATCACGACGAAGCTACTTAAGCTTAGCAAATGTGAATCTTCCGCAATCCTCTGTTCTATCTTTGAGCAATCCCTAACTAGTGGCCAAATACCTGCTGATTGGAAAAGGGCAAAAGTCACCCCGGTCTTTAAAAATGGTCAAAAGAATGAATTCACGAACTATCGACCCATCTCTCTGACGAGTGTTCCGAGTAAATTAATGGAACATGTTTTATTTTCAAATATCATGGATCACCTGTCAGCCAACAGCCTACTTTTTGTAAACCAGCACGGCTTCCGTCGGTCTCACTCTTGCGAATCCCAACTTTTTGAATTTGTAACTGATATACACAGTAACCTGCATTTTAAAACTGAGACGCATGCAATTTTTATTGATTTCCAAAAAGCATTCGATAAGGTGCCGCATCATCGACTAGTTCTAAAATTACGTGCTTTCCAAGTGGAGCCATTCGTGATAGACTGGATATCGAATTTTCTTTTTAATCGCTCGCAAAGTGTTTGTTATGATTACAAATCTTCATCCCATCAGAAAGTAAAATCGGGAGTGCCGCAGGGGACCGTGCTGGGTCCATTGCTCTTTCTTTTGTACGTGAATGATTTACCCGATAGTATTCTTTCAACCATCCGTTTGTACGCTGATGATTGTGTGGTGTATAGGAAAATATCTTGCATTAGTGATTGCATTCAACTTCAAAATGACCTGATTACCCTAGAAACATGGTGTAAAAAATGGCAAATGCAAATCAACATCCTAAAAACAAAATTCTTAAACTTCAACACTAAGCGAAGTGCCACAGTGTTTAGCTACTCTCTTTTTAATACACCCATTGAACATGTCCACACGTACAAATATCTCGGGGTTCATTTCACGTCAAACTTATCATGGGAAGCTCATATTAATCAGATCGTTGTAAAGGCAAACCAAAGCCTCGGTTTTTTGAGACGAACACTACATATGGCTAACCGGGAGACAAAACTCGTAGCTTACACTGCCCTTGTTCGCCCGCAGCTCGAGTATGCATCTACAACATGGAACCCCCACCAGGCTTACCTAATTCAGAAATTAGAGTCGATCCAAAGCAGGGCAACTCGGTTCATTCTTAAAAACTATACACACACTAGCATTACTACGCTAAAAAAAGAACTCGGCCTTCCACTGCTCGCGGAAAGAAGGAAACTGACCAGACTAGTTTCATTGCACGCTTTGTATTATCTGGCCCCTTTAAAGAGAGAATTGTACTGTCCTGCGGCTCATCACATTTCTCCTCGTACAGACCATTCTCAGAAAGTTCATCTGGTAACACCAAGGACCAACCTTTTTAAATTCTCTCCACTGCAATTATCACTTTCAGAATGGAACTCTCTGCCAGAACATATTGTTACAATTCAAGACTCATCTGGATTCAGAGCTGCACTTGCTACTTTTCTCGATATTTAGCAACCTTTAATCCTGTTTTTTCCTTTCTTTGTTTGTTTTTGTTTGCTGCCAAAGCCCCCCCTTATGTAAAGCCCTACGGGCGCTTTAAGAGAACAATAAATGAAATGAAATGAAATGTAGCGTGCGCTATTCTATAACTCCCTAATGAGTGTCGCTCGTGCAACCTTTTACGGACCATCAAGCCCAACCATGAGTGTGACTCATGTTTTGGTTTCGGCGCTTGTATAGCCCGCCCTCTTGCAGATGATAAAACCACACCTGTTGCTCCATTTAGCTTGGGCTGTTTGCTCGTTTGTTTTGCTGTTTGAAAGAAAAAAACACTCCATTTAGCCAAGAAAAAAAAAAGAAGCAGTCGCTCGTAAGCATTTGCACTAAAACGACGTGGCTTTGGTGCAGGGGTTTGCTTCAGCCGACGAAGAGATACAGAACCTTATTTTAAAACGATTAATACTGGGGCCACATGCAATGACAAATCCTTCGGCATTTGCGATTTTTTGGAATCGGACCATAGTTTGATGGACAGTGACAGGAGTGATAAAAAGATGCGAATCCTGCAAGTATTTCATCTCCATCAGAGTCTGCACATCGATGGGACTCGGACCACAAGTCCCGATTTAGAGCAAGATATTATCACACCTGGAAGCTGAGGAAATGTTTGTCTCATTTCGATGCAAATTCCCCGTTTAAAATAAAGTGTCGCTGTACGTTCCTGGAAAGAAAAAGAAGCGAGTACCGTAATGCTTCGAGAGATTGCCCACCTAAATTCGAGAGTAAATTGGGTGAAAATACGGAGCAGGCTAACTTTCAACGTAAACTACAAACAAAATTAAAGAGAGAAAAAAAAAAAAAAAAAAATTTTTAGATTGCGTTTTTCTGCCAAACTTAAAGGAGTCATGAAACGCTTTTTTAACTTTTTCCTGTTTAGCTTTCCTCCTCAACTCATAAATCGCGCATTCTACCAAACAATTCAAGAAGACGGAAAGGGGGAGTCCCCTCTTGCTCAGACTCTCGCTTGTGTAGCCGGATACAGCCATTCTCCACCCCCCCCCCCCCAGAAGATTAGCCTGTCACTCAAAAGTCGGACAAAAGTTGGTTTCCCCACCCCATCCACCCCGAAGTTGACAGTGCAGTGGAAGCTATGTGCTCGTTGGGTCAGCCAGACTTTTGCCACATGATCACGCTCTCTTGCGCATACCAACGCAGAGAGAATGGGATCAAGTGATGAGAGGGAGGTGGCTGATTGGTTCGGCAAGCATGTAGCCTCCACCACAATGTCAGCTTAGGGGTGAAGGGAATAAGTAAGGTCCGGTGCCGTGTGACGTGCGTTTGGGCCCGGTGACGCGCTTTGGGAACCGCGGATGTATCACAGCGAAAAGGCAGAGAGCTTACGAAGAGAAGGAGGTACGAAATAGTCTGCTGTGTTTTCAAAATTTTTGTACCGAAAGTCAAGCTTTTGACTTTCTACCTTTTTGCTTTTGGCCAACTTAACGATGTGCTATAAGTAAAATCCCAATATAAATTGATTTACTCCAGCCCAAAATATGTTTCATGAGCCCTTTAATACTGCGGTCAGGGACAACGAAGCAAAGAGAACCATACTTCTGATTCAGCAATGTTCGCTCGTATCCCACCATGCCAACTAGCCGCACTTAGCCGAGGTCTTCGTTGATCCCAACACTACGATTACTAAAAGTGGGCTATCTTTCGGTGTTTAAAATAAAATGGCAAATTGAGCCAAAAACAGGGGCAGGTTATCTTTCGGGGGGAAGGGGAAGGGGGGGGCATCTTCTGGGATATTACGGTAGGCAAAGGGTTAAAAAGGTTGTATTCCTACAAAAGAGGGCGGCCGAGGACACCCACCTTGAAGTAGGTCACCCGGAAGTGTCGCACGGGGCGGCCGTTGTCCCGAGGCATGGCCCAGCGGATCTCGTACTTGTTGGGGTACATGCTGACCTCGTTGCTGAGGACCGTCGGGGGGTCCGGGGCCATCTCGGGGGGCGTCTCCCGCCAGAGCGTCTCCGAGAAGGGGCCCGTGCCCACCGCGCTGTGCGCCGCAAACCGGAACCAGTACTTGGTCTTGGGCTCCAGGCCGTCCAGGGTCACTGTGTCTGTGCGGTCCACTGGAGCACAAGGGGTGGCCATTATGGCTGCCGACGCTTCGACAGACTTACTTAAAGAGCAACTCCGGTCGAAAACGAAACCAAAATAAACAACTTGTATCGTTTTAAGGCACAAAATATGATCACACAGCCAAAAAATTAAGTCAGTGAAGTTGCGTACTCGACTAAAACCGATTTTAAAGATGCGACCAGCTGCTCTTTAGCGGGTGGCAAGCGGGTTGGCTTTTGGTCAAGGAACACTGGCGCAGCACCTTTGTGACGTCACATCGTGGTAGAGCGGCGGGTAATTGGTTGTGTCGAGTGCTGCAGCACCGCATTGACCTGGCGTCACGGCCGTACGGCTGATGACCAGTGTTGCCTGCCATCCCTCTAACAAATAGTTTCGGTTTTACCATAGATGCCCGAAACCAAACTTTGAGCTGTGATATTTACAAAACTACACACAATGTCCAAAAAACAGAAAATTTTTTTTTTTGTAATTTAGGGACAGTGCTTTTAACTGAAAACAGTTGTATTCCCAAATTAAAAGAAGACCCGGACTTGCCCTTCAGGAAGAGACATGGGTCTTTGAAACTAAAAAATCAATAAACATTAAAAAAAAATATATATATATAGATCGTTCCATTAGGGTCATAGCAGAGAGGGTAAAAAGAAAAAAAAAATGCCCTCCCCCTCTCGCCCGCATGTCGTCTGCTCCGCCGAGTGGGCAGTACCTAGCATCCGGCTGGCGTACAAACTCTGTTTAAAATCGCATCATTTTGGGAATTTCAAGCGCAGATGCGCAGATTTTGGTATGCCAGTTATCGTGTATTACTATGCTAGATAAAAAAGACTAACAGAGTCCAATTGCGCTGTTATCCGCGTGCAAATAAAAAAAAATAGAGAAAACTATGTCAGACTGGCCGGTCTCTCCGGCGAAAAGTGAATCCGGTGGCTGTACCTTTTTTACTATACAAAGTTCGTACTGGTGTAGGCCTTTAGCAACCATGAGTGGATGTCTGAAATAATAAATAAAAACATGCTCTCCTGCCGCAATACACGCAGTAGTTGAGGGTAGTACTGCCGGCTGACTCAACTGCTATTTAAGTAACAGAAAAAAGATATGTCAGTTGATCATTTACGGAAGTAGAACAACAGAGAGCTCTAGGCTGATTTTGGAGTAGCCATAACTATTCTAAGAACGCGAACCACTTCACAACGGCAGCCACGAGCGAGAGTTCAATGTTCCGTACAGCCCGCCGATACAGCCCAAAGATGGAGAAGGGCAACCTCCCGGTTTGTCGTGTGCTAGCGGAGTCGGGCGTGTGCCCTCTCTCGTTTTACCCCGCCGAACCCGCTGAATTTCCCGGAGGTATGGAGAGGGCGCTGCTGTCGAACAAAATGGTGCCGCCCAGAAAGCGCTAAATGGAATGGTCTATATATATATACTATATATAAATTGACAGCTTTTTTTTTTTTTGATCTGACAAGTTTTTTTAGATTTAAGAGCAATATTTGAGCCATAACATCACTATAATATCTATGCGAGCTGAAATTGCACTAAGCTCAATGCTAAAACATTTTCTCGAAATGCAAATTTTGAGCTCTGCAAATTTTCAGGAGGGTTACCTCAGCATCTAGGGTAAAATGTCAAAAATATAACTTTTTTTAGCAACATGTAGCTAAATGGCCTACAATGTTGCAAGCAAATATTTCAATATTAGGTGTATGAAATATTTCAACTGAACTATTGTTTTCTTGCTTCCCATTGAACACTGAACTTCAATGTGTTGTAAAGTTTCTAATAATTATTTGATCAAAAAAAAAAAAGCTGCCAACAGTGCATTCTTAATAATTTGTATTATCTCACCGTACGTTAACATATTCTTTGAGAAATGGTTTTTCGCCATTGTTTTTGGAAATGAAAGGCGAGTTTAATAGAATTATCCTGAGAACTAACATATATTAATTCACTTAAGTATCAGATATTTTAAATCAGCACAAAAACCTGAACAAGCTTGTGCTGTTCATTGGTTTTTGTCGAGAAATAGGAAAAAAGCTCCAAGACAAGCGTTTCCCATCAAAATACCGTCAAGGTGTAACACTGAAGAGGAGAGTGAACTAAAGAAAATTATCACAAAGCGCACATGTGTTAGTAAGGGAATTCTTAAACGGGACAATAGCGACAATATTAGCGATCGAAGTGGGAAGGCGGTTCCAATGGGCCCGAGTAGGGGTAAAATAACTGTGACAAAGATGACATTTTAAAAGTGGGAATACCAATCTTATGACTATGATGAATGTGAGAAGAGATGCAGGATGGTGAATGCATTAGTTTATGATGAAAAACAGTGTTTTGATGGAAGGGTTTCTTCAAAAAGACACAAACTAAGGACATCGAGGTGGTGCACTCTACTCTATTGCAAGTTAGGAAAAGTGCAATAAGCTCTACTTGCAAAACCCTTCCCTCTTTCGACTTTAGCAGAGCGAATGCTCTGCTAAAGCTATATTAAAGTGACTACCCTATAGGGTGAGAAACAGTGGCACTAACTGTCGCTCCATTCGTGAATCTGCGCCAGGTCCTCCCGGTCGCCGTCCTTCCAGCGCTTGATGAGGATCTTGCCGATGGGGAGGCCCCCGTCGTCCGTGGCGTGCACGAAGGCGAAGGTGATTGTGGTGGGCGTTACCCCCTCCACCCTGGGAGTGGACAGGGGCCCCGGCAGGCGGGCTTCCTCCAGCTTCACCTCCACCGACCCCTTGCCCAAGAAGTTCTGGGCCTCGCACGTGTACGTGCCGAACCGGTCCGGGAAGCTGGGCGACACCTGCGTGCGGAGAAAAGGTTCTTTTTTATGCGTGCGGAGCCTGCGTGCGGAGAAAAGGTTCTTTTTTATGCGTGAAAGCGAGCAAAAAGAACCGAGCAAAGTCGAGCGCGATGAAGCACCTGAACGAAGAAATTCACACCTAGCGTTTACTACAAGTACCGACAACCAGTCATGGGTAAGTTACTTTTAAAAAGTAATTCGTTACAGTTACAGTTACTTTCAGAAAAAAGTAGCGAAGTTACCGTTACAGTTACCGGAACAAAACAGTAACTCGTTAAAGTTACAGTTACTTTTAAAAAGTAACGACGTTACTTTTCAGTTACTTTTCTGCAACACAAAAAAAAAATTTAGAAAAAACTAGAAAACGCCCCTCACAACGTTTTAGTGCATAAAATCAAAAAGTATGCTTTTTACTTTATATTCTAACTTAGCAGCAGTTGCTTCTCGAAGTTATTCTTTGAAAGTTTCCACGCCAGAGTAGTGGTGCAAATCAAAATACGAAACATGTGCAGTGCGGAGTAGTGGCGCTAATCAGAATACGAGACATGCGCAGTGCCCTTCACGTGTATTGTTGTTTTACGGTTGATTCACCCGATTAAAAAGCGTTTGCACAGAAAATAAAACAAAAAAAAACAACATAGGTAGTGCTTCAAGACACTAAGATGTAAGTGTTCAGGCACAAAGTACAAGCGCGTGCGTAAAGATAACTAGATATTTTTTCATAAAATCTACACGTGGCTATATTCGGGTCGTGACTCGCGAGAAAGAACGTATTCACAACTTTGTGCAAGGCCAACTTGACACTCGAAATGTCGAAATAGACGATTTGGAAAGTGCAACAAAGAATGGCTAAGTTGCACCCTCGTTCAGTGATATATTATTCATAAAACACTGCAAAGTAACGACAAAAGTAACGTCGTTACTTTCATCGCGAGAGCTAGAAGCGCCCTAGACAAGGCATTTAGGTGCGCACGGTTTTGCACCGCAGCACGGTACACAAACCCTCAACGATCCGGAAAACCCATCCTCCAATCAAAAGCTAAATCGAGATGGCTAGTAGGGCTAGCCGGCTGTTTATCTTTAACGCACTACGCCTAGAAGGTGCGCGGCAAGAGCCAACGTTTTACCGTTTGAAAACCGCTGGTCGAGGGTCGGCTGCTCGGGACAGACGGAAAAACTACCGCACTGTGGCTTCAGATGGTCGTTCCAAGACCCTAACAAGCACGTTCGCAAGAAATGCAGCCTGCTCAGGAAGCATTGCTCTCATTGTAAAGTGTAAGAGTACAAAAAAGACTAAGTAAAATTGTAAAAACAAATAAGACAGACGGGCTCTAACGAAAATAAAGATAGTTGGGCCGATATTTGACGACTATTTCTTTTCACTCGTTAATACAAAGAGAAAAATTTATGGTGGTCGTCGTTTTTCAATTAACAGGGAAGACTAGGTGTACTAGCTACAGTAGAACCTCATTAATATGTTCTCGGTTCATATGTTTTCCCGGTTCATACGTTCACAAGCGAGGGCACAGGAAACGACTCAGAGTTGCGCTGTTTTTTTCCGGTTCCCACGTTTCCAGATAATACGATTTCCCAGAAAGCACGCTCAAGATTCTGCCAAATGTTGATCGGATTATACGTTTCTTGGCAATCAACTTTGCACTCGCATATTCGGAGCTCCGAATATCTGGTCTCGACAAATGAGCGCCGAGCAGCCGTCTTCTGGAGGCACACGACATGGCGCGCGCGTGCAAAGCGGTCTGCTCGCTGATAACGCCGCCGCTGCGTCTATTCGCGACTCCAGCGACCTATAGGGGGCGCCACCCCCAAACAAACATGGCGGCTGAGTCCAGGTCGCGTCGCCTCGGCCGGGCCGCCTGAACAGGTGGCGCGTTGAATTTAACAGATTTTCTTTTGTTTAATGCCCAATTTTATAGGTATTTGAACTGAGATGGTTAAGTGTAGCCGGTGCACATAAACTTGCAGAGCATAGTTTTGTTTCCCAACTGTGTTTTTTGTTCTTTTCATGTCAAACTTTCGTTTCGGAGATTTCGTTCGAAACCGAAACCGAACTGAGACGGTAATATACTAATCAGTTTTGATCATCTAAGGAAAGCGGCAATGACTGCAGAATTCTCCCACCGACAGTAATTTTCAGCCAACTCGCATGCCTCGACCATGCGACTTATCTGTCCGCGAAATCGGGCTTTTGTGCGTATCCGCGTTTAAGAAACAGCTTCAGTGGTCTGCTCGGTCAACAACACAGGCTGCAGGAAAATTACGAAAATTAAGCAAGCGCTTCTTGAGCCAAGGTGCACGTTAACCCGCCGGCGCCCCACTAAGCAGCTGATACTCGTATTTCAATTCAGGTTTTAGTAGCAATCGAGAAGTCATTTTGACGAGCGGGTTATGTATTATATTACGTACTATGTCCCACTAAAGCTATATTAGTATATTCTTCGGTTAGAAATATGAGCTTAGTTAATTAGCTATTAGGTGAACTGCTGAATAAAAGTTTATTTGACAGACAGAGAGATACTAAGTTAAACTTAGCCAAATGGTTCTAGCCGGCAGCACGGAGACGAATGCGGACAAACTGAAGAGTCTTCATTGGAGATTCACGCAGAACCTCTCTGCATTCAACCTGACTTCGAATCGTGAACGGAAAAAATGGGTATTTTTGTGGCCGGTCAACCTGAGCAATGTAGACGTATATTGCTGCTGGCTTAATTCGACGGGGGTATAATATAAATATTGGAGGCGCGATAGCTCATAATGCCGTGACAGCTTCTAACGTTGCGAGACGCGTCCCCCACCTTTTGAAAAACAGATTATTTCCCTCATTCATCATTTGCAGCGAGCAGGCTTTCCTGAATCAAATAATTGCGAAATCAGCCCAACTCCTTCAGAGTGGTCCAGAGGATTTTTCGGCGAAAAGCAGCCAAGATGACTAGCCAACGCACCGACCGGCGTGGGTGGCTAATCGAACACAACCAAACTCAGGAAAAGCAGCTATCGAACCTTCCCATTCACTTAGAGGGGGTGGCGTTAATGTTCCCTCCAGTGAAATGCCCTCATCTGTCGTCCTCCCACTGTTCTACATCCTTATAAAGAAACCCCTTATCAGTTACCAAGCAGTCGTCACTTTGAATGTGATTCGAGGCAGACAAGAAATCAAAACGTTTTTCCGCGATTCCTCCCCATCCAAGAAATCGAAAACACGTGGTGGAAGGAAACAATCTAATGAGGCTTTACCGCACTAATGAACACTCGGGCAAACTTAAGAAATTCCCGGACCTTCGTGAAATTACACTGTTCGCCACCGCGCCGACAACACGTCTCCGCGAAAGCCACCAGAGACGCGGAGGGGCGCGGAGCGACCTGGACCGGTTGGTTCCCGGGTTTCCCGCTTGGTGGCGTCCGTTTTGCTGGAGTCGCGAATTGTTCTGTGCAACTTTCGAGAGCCGTCCAGGTTAACAAGGGCGTTTTGATCGGAATTACAGAACACACAGCGGGGTTTTACTGTCTTAGCTCATTACTCTATAAGTCATAGAATCTTTTCCATGAAATAATAACAAAGGATTAAAGTATGTACTTTATGAATCTCAAATGCAACTCGGGCAGCTTGGGTGAGAACATCGGCTCTCTTCGGCGGCGCTCTCGGCGGTTGTCAGTTAGTGTCCGCACCGCTTCGTCGGCGTACTCACCACTTGCAACAATGTGTCCATCTGATGTTGTCATTCATTTTGCTCTCTTCAAGTGCTACCGCTGGCGAAAGTGGAGCTTATGCTGTCGTAAGGAGCAACCGAAGTAGCCAAGGCAGCACCGTAAAACTCAAAACCCAAATACGACTGTCTACCGATCGAGCTTCACCCGTGCGAGCGTATGCTCACTTCAGTTGTCAACAGAGCAGTACGCTCGCTTATGGCTTTCCAAGCGTTTCCAAAGTAGACACGTGATTATGGGTCACTCTCGATAACTCCAGCAAGCACTTTGACGCATTGTTCGGAGGTGCGCAAGAGTAACTCTAGACTAAGACATAAAAGGGAGTAGTAGCGGTTGCAGTAAATGAAAGAATCTGGCATTTCCTTGTTTCCTTCTTTGCGTTGGTTCAGCTCCAGTTGCTTTGTCAAGTTTCGCCAACGCTTCAGCAGCTTTGGTTTCGCATTCCACCCCAAGCTCGTGCCATCCCATTTCGCCATTTTTCCTGTGCCGTGTAGGCTCGTTTCGTTCTATGATCAACACCATCGCAGAACTGCTTGTTTCCTTTTTTTTTTTGTGTGCCTCAAAATGTAAGTTTGGATCGTACGTTTTCCTGGGTAATATGGTTTTTATCGCAATTTCTTCAAGAAGTAGTAACGAGGTTCTACTCTAGTAGTCGCCCGGCTCTGACCCACAGAGAAGCTCAGAGTTGTCAGTTCACGGGCAGACCAGTAGTCTCCGAGAGCGGGCCGAGGAGGAGGGGGAGGCCCACCGTGAGCACGCTGGCGCCGGGACTGTTCTCCACCTTGAAGTACTGGCTGACCCGCTCCTGCAGGGGCTGCTTGCGGTAGAACCAGGCAAGGGTGGCGTTGGGGATGGCCTCCGCCAGGCACTCCAGCACAGCGGGGCGCTGTCCCCATGTCTTCACGGGGTTCTCCCGGGCAGACACCTGCGGCGGGACTGGGGAAGAGGGGAACGGAACAAGGACATGCTCGGCTCCCGTCAACGTTGCCTCCGGTCTGTTCGTTTTCGCAGGGGGGTACCGAGTCAAAGCCAAAGACGATAAGCGAGACAGCCAACTCTGACCGACCTCAAGCATATGCAGCGTGTGCTGGGTGGCACGACTAGAGGCCAGTCAGCAAACTCGCGATTGCATACCACCGAAAAGGCTTAAAATCCGGTTTTAGGCCTCTTGTTACGGTTTACGACCAGCTGCACAGAGGCAGCACAGCCAGACGTAGGCAGTCACAAGAGGATTATAAACTGGTTTGGCGTTCTCAGTCGCGGTTTCCGGAGTCAGTTCCTGTAAGCACGGGTGTGCCCAATGTTGGTCAGTGTTGGCTCATTAATTCCTTCAATTATAAACCCCCAACAGAGGCATTACACAAGGAGGGCAATACAGGAAGAAAAAATGTGTGGAACAATAACAAAAATAAAGAGTCAATGTATGACTACATCAAGATACTCAGTAGGTACAACGGGGAGGGGGGAGTCCACTCACACTGCACGGTGAGGTGTCCCACCCGTTCCACCTTGCCCGCCTTGTTCTCGGCTGAGCAGTAATACAGGCCGTCCATCTCCCGCGCTGCGCTGGTCGCACTCATCGTCAGCACCGTCTCTTGCTGGTCATTCTGCGTCTGCAGGATCTTGAAGTGCTGCACCGACCAGGAGGCGTGTCATTCGTAGGCTCGACGGAGACTCACTCGGATAAAGAGCGTCAGACTACCCCATCTACACGATTAACTTGCGCGCCGTTTGTAAACGAGGCCCCTGTGTCTAGTTGTACATGAAGAACGTTCAAGTTAAAAAAGGTGTGCAGTAATTAATGATGTCCTAGAAAACACACATGCTTGAAAACACTATTTATACTTTTAAAACCAAATAAAATAATTCCATCAACATGCTCTGGGAATTGTTATCCATGTTTCCACTATTGCTCAAGGCCTCCCCAAAGCTGCCCGAGGGCCAGGGGTGGGACCTTGTAGCGGCGAAGAAGACTGAGTTTGATGGCGTGGGTTGTGCACCCCTACCAAGAGAGCTGTTGCGAGGTAGCATAATTCATTTGTAGGATAACTCGCTCATTGTCACCGGTGGATATGTTTGTAACCGTCGAGATCGGTAGTATTATGCTTGTGTCCCGAGCCAGTAGCTCCCGTGGGGGGGGGGGGGGGGGGGGGGGGCGCGACCCGGGCTCCGTCTAATTCAGTTTTCTTTGCCGCTACACCAGCAAGTTGAAAGAGGTTTGTACTGATTCTTGTTTTGTTATCTTACTCTTTCTACGGGCCCAATGACATTGAATGTAGTTTTTTGCGTTTTCAGGAATATTTCTTTTTGGGTCTCGTCGTCCGCTATGCCCCTGACGCAGGTGACAATGATTGTTAATCCACGTGTTTTGCAGGAAAGAAGAGACATTGTTGTTACTCGGCAGCGATGGAATTATTCGAGCAAACAGGGTAGGTGCCAGGGGACTTTGAAAGAGCATGGTTACGTCTGTAGACACGAGGCAGCGTCGTTAGAATTAACCCAGGCAAAACATGCAGACTGGACTGATATTGACCCCTGACAGACTTAAGGGGGGACACCACCCCAGAAAATATATTTCTGCAAAAAAAGCTGATTTTGAAAAGGGCCCTATTTACGTCCGCAAACATCTAGAGAGCATTTCCAGAAAGTTTCATTTGTTTACAGTGCATAGTTATTTTTCTATAAATTAATTCGAGTCCACCAATGCTAAAGAAAAGAGAGGTTCGAGCACTTTGAATGCGTTTTTCTCCAATCCGTTTTTTGGCATAAATCCCACCTTAAACGGGTAAAGAAACGAAATTCCAGCGCTCATTTTCTAGCTTGAATGTGTTGCATGTTGCACCCTAACCTCAAAAACACCAGTCTTTCGTTGAAAGGCATAAGAAAACTAATTTTAAAGCTAAATAAACAATCTTCCAATGTGCACCTGGTGGGTGTATGCGGAGCCTATTTGGGAGGTAATCTAGCAACATTGGGGAACTTGCTACGTAGTTGTGATGTGGCAGATTCCTTCGGAACAGCGGCACCCTTCGGAATTTCAACAGTTTCCTTCTTAGCTTTCCTCCTAGCTGAACTCACAAATTGCGCATTGTACCAAACAGTTCAAGAAGACGGAAAGGAAGGACTCCCCTCTTTCACGAACCCTCGTTCGTGCAACCGGACACAGCCATCTCCCCCTAGAAGATTACCCCGTCGCTCAAAACTAAAAAGAAGTCGCTTTTCCCACTCCGTTCAGTCCCAAGCTAACAGTGTTGTGGAAGCTACGTGCTCCTTGGGCCAGCCACACGCTTGTCACCCCACGGGTACTTCGAACGGCTCGGTTGCAACGCGCTGACGCTATTGACACCACCACAACGCTGACAACGACACCAAGGGCAAAGCTCATAACCACGCCTGCCTTGCTACTCCACGAAAGCGGGAAATCTTTTCATTCTGTTTTTGTTTGCGCCGGATACCCCCATGATGCATCGCGCTTTCCGTTCGCTTCTCTTCGAGCACTTGCACAAGTGCACCGTTTGGAACGAAAAATATAGCCAGTCGTTCAAAATACAAACGTGCGATCATCATTTACGGTTATTATCAGTCATGCTTGACTCATTTCCGAACGAAATCTGAATATTTCAATTTTTGTTTCCGTACCCCTTTAATAAAATTATTGCTTCAGCATAAAACTATCGAGAGAGTTAATATTTTACGGCTTATATGCCGAAATATTATGGAGCCGCTACTACGTACTTAGATTTTGCATTTTAATGTGTGTTTCTTATGAAAAATTGTAATTTGCAAAATTTGGTAAACGTGAAGAAACAAAATTTCATACATTTTTTTTATTTGAAAAATGCACATTTCCTGAAATTTCTTTTTATAGCAATTGGCAACAGGTATTCCAGTATGCATTCCACCAGAAATATATATGATTATCAACACCATTTCTCAACAATAGATTCATTGAGCAGATTTCATGCAAAGCTAGGCTTTACTTCGTTCTGGGGGTATAAAATTGGTTCACAGGGCTGAAGCTTGGCATGCCCTCTTTCTATATGGCTACAAACACCCACCTGCAATTATCACGCCGATTGAGTGAGCGGTTCAAAAGCTGACATTCCCAGGTAGTGTCCCTCCTTAACACCTCAATACTGAACACCTAGCCGACAGACATTACAGCAAATAGATGCCAGGGTTGTCCCAAACATGCATCCAATGTGGCCTGAAGACCGGAGCAGGTTGGCAAAATTAGGTGTGGCTAAGAACAACAGCTGGAGATTTTATACATCAATATTTACACAAATGTGTGGTGCACTACACCAATCAAGGGCCAACATTGCCTTGGTCATGTGAAAAATTGGAATCTGCTTAAGCATTGTTAAGGCCTGGGTCCTTCAATTACAACAGGTTACATTTGCAAGTCAAGAACAGTTGCTATAACCTTGTCATGATCGACTTACATTATCCTTTCACTAGTTAAGGTGTAATAAGTCTGCAATGCTTACTACTTCTTTAGTGCCATAGCACTAGCATAGGTACTGGTAACTTCAAGTACTAAATATCGAGACATTAACTAATCAGTAATTACAACAGTTACAATGCTCATGGCAATTGGGACTTAGAGATTTATAGGATGGTATAAGAAAAAGCATGCAGCAGAAATAAGAAAAAGAAAAGGACAAGGAAAGAACAGCGTAATATCCCGAGAGATGCCCCATCCTTCAAAAGGTAACCCACCCCAATTTTTAGTTTAATTCGCTATATTTTTTAAACACCAGAAAATGGCCCACTTCTAGTAATCATAGCGTTGAATCAGTGACGGCTTCGTCGTTGATGCGGCTAGTTAGCTATGGCGGGACATAAGCTAACATTGCTGACTGGGAAGTACAGCCATCCTTGCTTCGTTGCCCCTCGCCGCAATGACAAGTTTGGCAGGGACACAACCTAAAATTAGCATGTTTTCAACTTTTCTTGATCGCACACCGAAATAGCCCACTCCCTATTTTCACCCGATTTGCTCCCGATTTGAGGTGGACTACCTCTCAGGATATTACGGTAAGCATGCCTCAGTAAGCATTACAAAGAGACTGGCACATGCACAAAGAAACTTGGTTAATATGCCTTACATACACCACAAAGAGCTGAGAGATTGTTTTAAGTCCATTCTGGAACAAAAGCAAATAGCACAAGAATGGGGTATTAACTAGCAAAGCAAATGAGCTTTAAAAAAGGTACAATAGATGCGTATCTAGTCCTCACCATCATGAAGGCAAATACCGTTGAGAATAATACAGGAAACTCCGGGCTAAAATGGGAGACGGAAGTAGAAAGCGATCCTGGCGGTGTGGAGTGGACAACTCGCCACTTTCCCCGGAAATGAATCAAGTGGTTCTGACTCACTAGAGAAATTGATAGTCTATGAAATATCCCCATTTTTTGATGGACCATAGGGACCACAAGCTCGTGATATTGGACCTCTTGGTATTTTGATGTCAAAATGCAGCGTGTTGTATAGACCAGTCAGGGTTTGTATAGTGATTTTGTACAATCTAAATGATTATTAACCTTTTCTGAGCTTGTTGATTTATTTGTTTTATTCCTACCGAAACATATGCCCTTGGCTCCAAGTGACCATAATTGGCAATAGGCATCAATTTTTTATGAGACCGACTTGAAATGACTCCAAGTGACTAGAAGTGATTATTATTGATAATTATGTGATTTTTCCGTTTGCTTACTCTTATGAACGGCTTCAGGTAACTTTGGTTGGCTATTAGCATCATCTTTGACCAGATTGACCTTAAATGGCTGCCAATGGCTATTGATAAGATAATTGACCATTATCTCTTTTGGCATTGGTGAATGCATATGGTTTCAACTAGCTAATATTGGATATCAGCCTCCACTTTTATATATATTTGATAGATATGGCTACAAATATTAATGAGTCATGAAAACTGATCTATTTCTGTTTATAAACTGGAATTACTTCAGGTGGCTATTGTTGACTATTAGAATATATTTCTGACCAGATAGGCTCAATGGCTACTAATGGCTGTTAGTCAGTATAATATCAATTATCTGCTAGGGGTGTCGCGAACCGGCCGCGGTTCGAGTTCGACCAGGTTCGACTTTTTCGAACTTTTAGTGGAAATTTTGACGAACCTTCTATTGAGGTTCGACTCGTGTGCGCATGCGCGACAGGCTGGCCAGTTGGCTTCGGATTGGATGATAATGGCTAAGAGATGAATGAAGTGCAGCGCTCATTGGTTATTTCAGTTAATACAGCACAAAACAATTAAGTTAATAACTTCTTCAGTGATTAGAATTGGTTTCTTTAATTGCAACTGTTCATAAATTTAAAAATAACCCTTCGCATAAAAAAAATTTCTCCAAACTTAGACATGCTTTTATAAAGGTCTGGCCACACTGTCCACAAAGTCGAACCGGTCGAATCTGGTTAAAAGTTCGAAGGTTCGTCGAACCCGTTCGACCCAGTCGAACCCCGAAAGTTCGACCAAAAAATCTGGTTCGACAAAAGTTCGCGACACCCCTATTATCTGCTGTCTGAGTGTTTATGAATGAGGATGGCTTCAAGTGGCTATTATTGGCTATAAGCACCTATTTTGCAATAGATTGGGTGCAA